TAGTATGTTTGCGACCATAAAGTGAATGTCAGTCGTCGGAACAGATATGATAGGTGAGCGGTGTAGACTCATCGACATGACAGGCAAAGTTGGTAACCCAGTGATGGATAGTGGCTAGCAGTGAAATCCAGGACACGCATTCCGTCCTATTTGAGACTCGTCAGCTGCATATACAAAGAACGAAACCAAAACCGTCGCACGAGAAGTGACCCAGTGGTCTAGTAGATAACGCTCTGGCGTTTGAAGCGATCGGTCCAGAGTTCGAGTCATCGTATAAAGAACATCTTTCACTGGTAGACAGATACATCTAGCTGATGGGTCCCAAAAAGGATGGAAAATGTGTCCTGCATTCCACTGCTAGCAACTATCCATCAATAATATATTATTCAAACACAAGTAGTATCTATACAATATGCTCAGGAGCCCATTTTCCAATGGAGACCTATCAATTCGGTCCACTCAACAACATTAAAGGTGGTAACAATCAGAGAAGAAAATCGACTTTTATGAACTTATGAAAATAATGACAACATAATAAGTATATGTTTCAGATGTTATCGGAGTAATGAAGACACTCTATATTAGCTTGTTTACAAACAGACGAAGAGATAAGTCAGTATCAGAACTTATTTTTCCTACTTATCATAAGTTGTTCCTAACACCGAAATTGAAATTTAGCATAAATAAGTTCACAAAACTTCTGCAACCATCGAATCAAGTCAAGACTAATGGTAATCCACTAAACATCATGAAATATTTGGTAGTCATGATGGATAGCGGCTAACAGGGGCATGCTAGATGCATCATTCGTTCATATCCCATTAGTGACCAATCGATTTGATTCAGTCAACAACCGAAAACTGCTGACTAGCAAATCATCAAAGAGTATTTATCATTAGTTCACAGAACTGCAAAGTTGGCTTAACTCACTCCTTATCCTATATCAAAGGTAGTTCGCAGAATGCTAAGAAATTGACGATTGGTATGGCTCATAAACTCAAAAATTCTATACAGAGTATTCTAAAGAAGTCAGAAGATTTTCTGTCCGGTGAGAGACAACATTAAACGTACTGGGTCAGTTGTAATCATTTTCCACAACTCTACCTTAGCTAACCTAGACACCCAACGAATTTAAGGTTATAAGCTGGCAGTAAAAAGATGTAGCGTCATACACTTCCCCAAAATCAATAGCCTAGGGTTTGACGACTTTCGACATTGATGCTGACCTTGATAGTTTAACTGGACTCGCTAAGCTGAAGGCACCCGGTCAAGCATCCTCGCCATTTGGCACGCTGTCGTGTTACGTTGCATTGCTCGTATTCGACTCTCTAGCCAGTTAGTTGGAACGCATCGGTATTTTGGCATAACCATCCAAATATACTATTCCATCCGACTACGCTATCGTGTTCTTCCTTGGTCTCGTATTCGTGGGTATATAACAAGTTCGAATAATTAGTGATTGGTCTTTGCGTCTGTCAAGTTCGCACCAGGACAAATCCTAAATTGGTGAGCCCGACGTGATCACATATCCCGACCAATAACAAGTATTGAATTGGTGAGCCTGTTCCATTTTATATTTGTTTATTGTTTTCATTTCGATAACATTTATATATCCATTTACTACACTTTCTCATGTCCGACCACACTCCCAAGCTTATTCGTATTAAGCCGACTACGAACACGATCCAACTCGTGCCATATTGGCCAGACAATGCAGAAACATGGTTTCTGTATGCCGAGGCAGATTTTCGAGAACAGGGTGTCTCAGATCCTCATTCTCGATTTCTTGCTGTCATACGTCACTACCGCGAGAATTAAACAGGTATGTTACAGCAAACATGTTTAATCCTGAAGTAAGTGACCCTTATGCACTTCTAAAGGCCGCACTCTTGAAGAAAAGCGATCTCACAGATCGCCAACGTCTAGACGAATTGTTTCGTAACATCGAGCTAGGCAGCCACTCAGCTACTGAAGTCCTCGCACGCATGCGAGAAGTAATCGGTGCACGAACATTTGACGATGGTTTCTTCCGAGAACTATTTCTCTCGAAACTACCACAACCGGTGCAAACCGTGTTGGTGACACTCCAGTCAGTCCCACTCGACGACCTGGCAGCCTCAGCAGATAAAATACTGGAGATATCCAGCAGACCCGTCTCCAACGTATATTCTATCTGCGACAAAACAGAGCGCCAGGATTCAGAGGTGACCAAGTTGTGCAACTCTGTGAAACGGTTGCTACGATCTCGAAGTCCTAGATCACGTAGCACTTCACAGAAACGCACCTTGGCGCATCGCAGCAAGTCGCGTGGTAGCCCTAAAACGAAACCCAACAGGGTGGAAAACCCTGAATGGTGCTGGTTTCATAACACTTACGGGGATGAAGCCAGAAAATGTCGTAAACCATGCCGTTTTAAGAAGGACCCGAACTCGGGAAACGGTCACGCCGGCACGTGCTCACGGCAACCGTAGCCGGCGGAAAAAGCCGTTTGCTCTACGTCACGATTAAAACGAAAGTCCGCTACCTCGTCGACACCGGCGCAGAAGTTAGCGTTCTTCCAGCAACGACAAAGGAGCGTCATCTTGACCCATCCTTCAATCTTCAAGCAGCCAACGGCAAGGCAATCGCGACATTCGGGAGACGGTATGCCTACCTCAACTTAGGTTTACGCAAACCTATCCACTGGATTTTCCTCCTGGCAGACGTCTCTATGCCCATCATTGGCATAGATTTGCTAAACCATTACGATCTACTCGTAGATGCTCGCCGTCGACGACTGATAGATAACAGCACAAAGTTATCTATTGGCGGCACCACCTATGTAGGTCCGAGTTTAGCCATCGTTAGGACTAAACAATCAGACGACGCGTCCTACCAGGCAGTTCTGGAGAAATATCCAGAGTTACAGCAACCGAAGCACACTCTTCCGTGCATAACCAGCAATGTTATGCATCACGTCACAACCACAGGTCCACCTGTGGCATCCAAAGCGCGCCGTCTAGCCCCCGATAAGCTCCAAACGGCGAAAAATGAATTCGACCACATGCTCGACCTGGGCATTATCAGACCGTCGAACAATCCTTGGGCATCGCCATTGCACATGGTTCCCAAAAAGGATAGCAACGACTGGCGTCCAACCGGTGATTACCGAAGGCTCAACGCCAAAACAACTCCGGACTCCTACCCGATACATCAATACAAACCCTCGTACACTTTGCCTTTTTATATCAATTTTTATTTACCATGTAATGAAATTTTAAAAAAAACGGTAAAGATAAGCGTAAATTTTTATTTTTCGATATGTTTATATATAAATAATTCCCATTTTTACGCAACGTTTTCGTGGTATTAAAGACTTTTATTTATATTCCAGGTGCAACGAGCACTGGACGGAACGTCGAAAGGAACAGATGACCGCGACCGACGTACAATTCCATTTATTGTATTTTATTTATTTAATCGCCACGACACCCTAGAATAAGGTTCAGACAACCAGGGGCCACCTCACGCAGTGAGCCCATCGGAAGAGTTTTACCAGTGGAGAAACCACTGGGTTTTTACTTCCGGCTGGTATCGTCTTAGGGTCCTCACGAACCCACTAGGGGGGGAGTGATCTGTAGCGTCATACACTTCCCCAAAATCAATAGCCTAGGGTTTGACGACTTTCGACATTGATGCTGACCTTGATAGTTTAACTGGACTCGCTAAGCTGAAGGCACCCGGTCAAGCATCCTCGCCATTTGGCACGCTGTCGTGTTACGTTGCATTGCTCGTATTCGACTCTCTAGCCAGTTAGTTGGAACGCATCGGTATTTTGGCATAACCATCCAAATATACTATTCCATCCGACTACGCTATCGTGTTCTTCCTTGGTCTCGTATTCGTGGGTATATAACAAGTTCGAATAATTAGTGATTGGTCTTTGCGTCTGTCAAGTTCGCACCAGGGCAAATCCTAAAAAGATATATGTTACTATTTTCAGTCTCAGTATACATCAAATTATTAAATTTGATTAAAAAAAGTGAGAAAATCTTAGAACGTAAACAGTGAAAACCTCGAGATAGCTTCGACAAACCTGACATTCAGATGGGACAACAAACATGTGGAAATGAACTTAGCCAAATACCTAACCAGAAAGAAGATAACCATTTTTCAACCAACTAGAAAATGACCAAGCAAACCAACAATCAAACATGATGAAAACAGACGTTTACAGTTTCACATTATAAGGAAGCGTTTTTCAGTATGGAACAAGTCATAACGTTTAACACATGACTAATTTGTCTTTGTACTTACAATGTCAGTAAATATTACCGAAGCGTTTAATCAACTTAAACGTGACGTTTTTCACTATGAAGTTAACGCCGACAGTTTGTTTCGTTTTCATTTACTCCCTATGTTTTATTTTACCGTCATCATAGATTCAAATCACTATAGTAACTAGTGAATTGAACTTGCTCAAGGCCTTTTTTCTGTTCATTCTTTAACTTATTCATACTTTTAGAGAAGAATACCCTTTAGTTTAATTGGTTTACTCATTTATGTAGAGCTGAACATTTTACTGAAAGAGGTAGAATAAAAATTGTAAAATGAGTAAAACATAAAAGTTTTAACTTTTCTTTTCATGCAAATTTATTTTATTTTGAACATCATTTGTATGTTAAAATATTTCAACAATCATCAATGGAGAGGATATTCAAGATGAATATTGATGTGCATATATGTGTACTTATTTGTTTTAATTATTGAATATCAGAATCTTCACGAAGAAAGGAAATTAGTAAACAATAACAATGTTAATAAATATTGATTTGGTTGATTGTTCAACACAATAATAAAGTATTATTGCTTTTCAAAGCTATGTTATATTTTTTTATGGCCTATATAGTTTTTTTCTAGAGGAATCAGGCTAAACAAAAAATGGGATTGTTTGGGAACAAGGTTTCAGGTGTTAACCAATAATATTTGCATTATTATAATGTATATCTTTCAGAGGGAAACATGGATTTGTTTTAATCTACTGTGTCATTCTGTTCAATAAGCATTGAAATAGAAATATTTTGTTCCACTATCAAACATCTCAAATTATTTTATAGGTGAGTCAATATTTTTAAAACAATTTGAAGTCATTGCAGTAGCTTTATGATGCAATAGGGTCTTAATTTGTAAACAGGATGCTTATATCGCCATGATGAATAGAAAAAACTATGATTGTGGTAAAATACGAAATGGTGGTTGTTAGATTCCCAGTTCATAATGTTGCCATTTGAAGTTTCGAACTGAACCGTTAACAGCAATTCTAATTAAATAACTGGAATATGGTGCTTAGTTATCATATGAAGTGAAGATTTTCTACCGTCCACACTGAAGTTTCAAATGAGCCGCTCAATCTACGCTTAGTCACAGGATTGTAATCTGGATATCATGGAGTAAAAATTGCCATTCAGCTCGGTGACATGATAATGCCAGTTAACTTATTTTATATTTGTAGTATAATGACAGAAGCTCGGAATTTGGGGAAAATAAGGCACCAATAAGGGCTGTTTTGAAGCATTATATAACTCTGTTTGATGATCCCAACTAGAAATCTTTTGATAAGGTCTGTCATAATCCTAAAGAAAAGTGTATTTTTGCAATTATCGTTTGATGATGACTTTTCAGACCTTCTTCTTCCTCTAAAATCCTGTTATGACTGTAAAAGTTTAATGGGGGGCACCAATGAGTAAGCTAGTGACCTCCGTGTCAGTGAATTTTAGGAGCTTAATGACTTTTCGGGGCGACGACTTATTAATCAGTGCTTATTATTTCTAACCTTCCAGTACAATACGTGGTGTTTCTGAAAATGAATTATTCACTAAGAGATTCACTTACAATGTCAGTAAATATTACCGAAGCGTTTAATCAACTTAAACGTGACATTTTTCACTATGAAGTTAACACCGACAGTTTGTTTCGTTTTCATTTACTCCCTATGTTTTATTTTTACCGTCATCATAGATTCAAATCACTATAGTAACTAGTGAATTGAACTTGCTCAAGGCCTTTTTTTCTGTTCATTCTTTTACTTGTTTATTGGCAGACACCTGCTTTTTCGAACAACACTTACAATACCAAAGGCATTGACTGACGTCTTTGCAGATTATTTAACTATTATTTGCATATTTTAAGTATGGATTTATTTATTCAAAACTTAATAGTATTTTGATGCCAAGATGTTCTACTACACACCTATCAATTTCTCACTTCATTCAATTACATCGACTTTGAAAATTGTCAAAGTGTCTAGACCTCTGGTAGGATCAGTAAGCATTTTTCTGAAGAGGCAATGAATATTTATGTACTGGCTCAGAGTGATATGAAAATGGGCATCAAATTAAGAAGTTAAAACAGCATAATTGTCGATAGGCTTCCTGGTATAATGTAAACTGGTATAACCACTTGACAAGCAGCGCGTCGTGTCATTTGACTGTAGAATTTGAAACTCTGACAGCCAGAATAACTTGCTTCCTAGCTTTTGTTTTTCGTGTGATTACAAGTTACAATATTCTTTAGCATGGTGTTTAAAATATGCAACTCAATTGTACACTTATAATGTGCTTTCAAATATCCAAGGGGTGAAAAAGAGGATTTCCCCATACTCTCAGACGAATTTGTGATAGTGATTGTCTGTATGTATTGAATATTCTCTACCAGCTTGACAAAATGATATTTAAGGTTAAAAAGGTCAATGTGTGATAGAAATCTCTCCTGTGACTTACAACTGGTCAAAACTGAAAGTAAGATAATGAGATATGAATGCTCTTCATTCGATTTAAATATCGAAGTTTACAGGGAGTTCAAAAACAGCCTCATGCTAGAAAAATGATGTTTCTTCGTAGTCAAACGATAAGATATATTTACGATCTCAAGAAATCTCATGCTGTTTTAGACCCTCAAACTTGTATCATCTAGTGTCTCAGTCACAGCTTAATTATTTATGAAACAGCTACTTCTCATAGCCCCGAGTGCAATACTGACTTCTGAGGACTAGGTAATATTATGTTTATGTACTTTGTAATATACTATACAACTGTGCTAAAACTCTTACTACATTTTAGTTTCTATTTATCATCATACAATCCTTGATCGATTCAACAAAAAGCGGTAATGGGTGCTAACACTAGTTCACAGAAAGGCTCTTCGGAAACTGACTTGTTACAAACATGTTCAGGTCATTCAGTTGGAATTAACTGTTTGGCATTACATGAAGAAACTCCACTGTTATTAGCTTCTGGATCAGACGATGGTGTAATCTGTTTATGGCGGTCAGAATCAACAGATGACTCATCAAAACTGATATGTGCACACTGTCTAAATGATCATCAAGGATATATAACTGGATTAGCGTTTCACAAAGCTTATCTTATATCAGCATCTTCAGATAGTACTATACGCAAATGGAATTACGAAATAGGAAAATGTGTATCTGTAAGTTTTGTACTATATCGAGTTCATGTTTTTAAATATTATGGTATTATACTGACTGATTGACTCACCGACTGACTAACTGGCTGGTTGGCTGGCTTCATAGAACAACTTAGAAACAGAATATTCGAAGAAAGTAAATAGTCAGGAAAAAAACTTGAAAATAAAACTTGGAAAATGGACAAATAATTATAAGAAATAAGCAGTTTTAGAGTAGTAGGATATTCTACACTTAGGGTATTTATGGGAAAATCGTTGATTCAAATGAAGTTCCCTTCACAAAGTGATACTGGCTGAAAAACCAGTGAAATCCAGAGACTATTAGGTATTTAATTTCCTGGGTTTTCCTACTCCTTAGCAGGATAACCTAGCTGCTACAGCAAGACCAAACTCAGGGTTTCCACACCAGCCATGATACCACTGGCCTATCAAAATGCATTGCAACTATTCTGATATTTTAATTTCTGTTGAGTTTTTCGTCAGTAACACTAACTGATGATCGCGTTATAATGCGAACCAACCAAAGTTATGAAATATGAAGTATTAGATTCTGATCTTGTAGGTGAAAAATAAACTACTAGTTGGGCTTGGTTACTCATAGGATTTTAAGAATATACTACTGATAATTATCAAGTTAAGATGAATTAGTTACTCGGTTATCCTGATTCTTCATTGGTTTCCTAGCTAATGTCAATCTGTGCTGAAAATAACAGTTAAATAACAAATAACTTTTAACCATTAGTAACCTGTTACTTGCTAATTTTTGTAATTTCCCGTTAGCATACTGAATTGAATTGATGGGCCCCTCTTAGTATATGGGTTTGTACATGGATGGTTCAGTATTGTTTGAACATTCATATTCATGTTATGATTTACTTGACGTTGGCTAACAGTGCAATCTGGGACACGCGTTTCGTTTTATTAGGGATTGGTTATCTGAATGTATCTACATCAGAGTGGGTAGTAGTGTTCCCACTAACAGTTCAACCCCACATCCGTCGCCTCAAATGCCAGAGCGTTATATACTAGGCTAATGAATCATGGGGACCCAAATGTTAACAGAAATCGATGAATACTATCAAAGATAACAAGGGAAAAGTAAAAGTACCTATATATGATACATGATACACGTTGAACAAGAGGTGATTCCTTCGGATTAGTTAAATAGTTGATAAGGCTGTAATGTTTGAAGCGATCGGTGTGGGATCCGAGCCTCAGCGGGATCACTATCATTCCCTGGGATGCAGGTATATCCAGCTGAAGAGTCCCAAATAGAACGAAACGCGCCTTCTAGATTCCAGTGATATCCACGACCAAGGAAATCTTAACATAAGTAACTTAATTTCTCTAATTATCAGTTTTATTTTCCCTATAAACCTTAATGTAAAGCCGATATGTCCGAATATGGTTCGAAAAGATCATCAGAAGCCTTTCTAATTGGTTTCATTTCGCGGTTAGGTCATAGCGGTTCTCTCGATCTTACGTATATTCTACTCAGCAACACGTTTAAGAAGGTGTAATAAGTAGACGAAAGTAACCCAAGTCTTCTGTACGGTTAGTTGAAATGAATTCATAATCTGATAGAGCGATTTATTCCACATAGCTAAATCGTGTACAGTATATGGACACTGTTACTGCAGCAATTTCAGTTAGGATGTAGTCAGTAGGAGCGGAATGTTGTTCATCGTATCATACTTACTTGTAAGTTATGAGTAGCACAGAAAATATGTCCAGATGAAATAATTTTTATTCGTGTTGTTCATCCCAGCCTTGACAGAAGGACAAGTCATTAGGCTATCAATCCTGAGACCTTAATCGATAGTGTGTTTTGATATTAAAACAGCCTTTAGAATTTTGTATAGAAGCTGTCAGCTGCGTATGCCTAGGTTTATTGAATCGCTAACCACATACGAGTTTAAACCCCCTTTATTTGTTCAAAAACGGTTTGTCCTTCCGCTAAACCTACCCTAGTAATTCTTACCTTATTGTATTACTAGGGTTATATCACTTCCCCTTAATTACTTTTCTTCTCATTAAATTTCTTGATATCATATTTATCCTCCCCTCAGTTCAAGTCTTCATATGAAATACCTTAACAGGCAGATATCTGATCAGATTGCTTAAAATGTATGGGGCAACTAAACATTTTTCAGATAAACTATGTCATCCATATCCTCATTTTATTTTTTTCATCGTGGCCTTAATGATTCTGTTATGTGTTTGCCTTCCTTTCACAGAAATCATTCTACTAGACAGTTCCACTTATTTTTATTTCTTAATAGTTGTGTCCACCAATTTCTTGAAAATTATAAGATTAGTCTCCATGTTACTAGGTATCGCCTCAACGCCTTTCTAAACCCATTTTGATTGTTCTATTGACCATGACCCTTGATTGAAATGAATTCATCAGAAAGATAATCATCATTGCTGTGATTGTCTTTTAGCTTCTTTTTAAAGTCTGAGACACTGCAATTCATTAGTCTACATTCGACTTACTTTACATTATTCTGGCAAACTACTCTGTAAATCGTATTTAAACTTTGAAATAAGTGTGCCCGTGGAAGATTTAAAGCTCATAAAAATAAAATAAATTCACTTCATATCACAATGCTTTTGTTCCCGGTTTGTAGAACTTTATCACAATGACCAACTGCAGAAAATTTGATTATTTTTTATTTGTCCCTTGGGTTCTTAGTGGAACATAGGGCTTCAGTAGCACGTCGCCATTTCAGTCTCTTCTCTGCCATTTTTTTAACCTGGCTCCATGACTACCTGGAAGCTTTCATTTCTTCCTCACACCATCTCCTTCATGTCACCTTTAACTTGGACACCTAACTCATCGTTTCCCATTTAGCTTCCACTCGAGGGCCTGACCTGATGCATGATGTCCCAAATCGGTCTTCTCAGTGTATGTCCAGTCCAATCCATCTCCACTTTCTTCTACTGCATATTTGTTGGGTGATGGGTTCCTGGTTGGTTCGTTGTCAGCCAGAGTGAGTTCCTTGTTGCTTATTCTTATATTCTGGTCATCTGATCTTCAGTGTCAGTATCGAGTGAGTGTAGGTGACAGCTGTTGATGTATATTTGTAGTTTGTTGGGAATGTTTTTCGTAACGCACCTCCAAGTCTCTGAACCTTATTGAAGCACTGACTTGACTGACTTTAGTGTTGGAAATCCGGATCTTGCTCCATATGCTGAATGCAGTACAGTGCAGTAGATCTCTACACTGATTTCAGATTGATGAAGGCCTGTCTCGCTTTTCCCATCCTGGCTTTGACATCTTCATCTGTACCACCACAGCCGCCTGTCGTTGAGATGATTCTGCTCATGTAGCTTGGTGAAAGAGACAAATTCCCTTAGCCTTCTCCTATTAATGGTGATTGGTAATTGTTGTTGGCTGGGTGTCTTCATTACCTCCGCCTTCTCTACGTTTACTTAAAGTCCCGTCTTCCTTCGCTGCCCTGCGTCTTCTGTCAACTTGTTAGTTTTTGCCTGTAGATGTGAATATCATTGCAGTTTTCACCACGTATTAGTATCAGAAAGAGAACTAATGATGTCCTAAGGACACTGGACGACTACTTTGTTCCACGTTTCGGCTCATTAGCAATGAGCAAACTCGGTCCCGAGTGCAGTTTAACCTAATTTCTCCAGTTCTCAGTGCAAGTGTGTTACTATTCAGCCTCTGGAGTGGAACAGAATAGTAACTCATTTCCTATTTGTATTAATTCACGATACGGCGTGAATATCATCCATAGTCGTCAGCTGCCATCTCCCTCACTTTCGACTTGGCTAACGCCACATACGACGTCTTTGTTTATAGCACTGAAATGTAATTTATGTAGGTGATTGTGGGAGAGTATTGATTTTGAGGTACTTATCATCGTGGATTGACATTGATAAAAGTCTAAAACTAGGATAAAACAACTATCAAGTTTTTTCGTTCTTAAATCGCTATTTATGTGCACTTGGTGAGATTTTTTTATAGTGAGTTTTACTTATGAATTGACACATGTAACCATAATGTGAATATTGATACTCTTAACAATAATAATCATACATAAAACTAGTCACATCAGTAATCAATACAAAGACTCTCCTCCCTAATTCAGGTTGATTTGGACCAGAATGAGATGTCCTGGGTAGGTATATGATGTGATTACGATGAACGAGCAGTTATGCACCATGCAATCATATGACAGCTGAGCAATACCTTCAACGGTTAAGATCTCAACAAATAGGTTTCGTAGCACAGGTAGCAGGATGTTTGGCCGGTGATTCGAAAGCAGGTGATTCCATCCAAGCTTTCATCTCAACTACATTCATAACTCCGTATCAATAATAATAATAGACTGGAAATTAAGTAAAATCGGAAACATCCTAGAGGATTCGACTGGAGAATGATCAATGCTCAGGATTTTTAGATGCCAAAGGAAGAAATCTAACAAATTGCTTCTAGACGCATAATTCTGGCTTCAAATTACATATTACGAAGGCTTCTGTGGTGTATAACAGTATATAATAAATCCACTGAAAAGGACTTTCTTCACTGGACTTTCTGTACATAGAATTAATGGATACATTCGTTATATCAGTACTGTTTCCAGGCTCCTTCCAACTTCCGCTGTCTTCTCTAGGACATTCATCCTATCATTCTATACACAGTTGACCTTTAAAAAGTCGGAAAAATGTCATTCAGTTCAACTATTTTTGATAAGCCTACATTTAAAATATCTTTCATTTCAATTAACGCATCCTTTTTAATTTTATGAAAGCATGAGACTATTATTCTTCTAACTTTATTTAAAATTAAAGTCTAATTATCAAAACATTCGCTGAACTCGTGAGCTTCAATTCCAAAGAGCTGTTTAAAAGTTATTGTTTAGCTTCTCTACCCTGTAAGCTACAAGATTAAACTACTGACACCAGGAGTCAGAGTTCTACCTCATTTGGAAAGTGTACTGTGCAGGTTTCACATGAATAAAATTTATTTTACCACTAGCTATCAGTTACCTTGATCATCTGACAAACATTTCAAGGCAAATATCACTTACCAGGACATAATTATGATCCCCTAGGTGATTTTTGAAACAGTAATAGGGCAGTTAGGATATGAATGCTATTCGAATCTATCTAGTGGATATAACTGAGTAAATTTGTTGGGTAAGGAGGCAGTCAGCAGTCATTACGCACTAGAAATCTTCAATTAATGTAGTTGACAAAAAGTTTGAAAACTAATTATTCCTTAGAAAAATATGTTAACAAGTAACCTCAATGCGCAGAATCAAAATCCTTACTAGTGCTTATTCCTTATACTTTTTTTGAAGGTATTTATAGGTCATACTGACGTCGTGAGAAAAATTTTTTGTGTCAATGACTATATTCTAAGTGCATCACAAGATAAAACAGCTATATGTTGGAATTTCCAAACTGGTGCTATTTTGAATACTTTCAAGGGACATACACGTCTGGTCAATGCAATTACCTATTATGGTAGCGTAGTGAATGTGCTTCGAAACAATGAAATTGTTTCAACTGCTGGTTATTTTGAGCATATTTATACAGGATCAGCTGATCGTACAGCTAAATCATGGAATCTTAAAACTTCAAAATGTGTCATCACTTTTCTAGGTCACACTCAACCAATTACATCAATAGAAACTTTTAAAGATGGTGAAATTTTGTTAACTTCATCAATTGATAATACTGTACGCAGCTGGTTCACGGAATCTGGAGTACCACAGTATATATTTGTTGGTCATAAAGGGACAATAGTTTCTATGCATGTAAGTACGTTTCAAAAAAATTGGTATTCATATTTTTGAAACATAACTGAAAATAAACTTTCAGTTTACCTAAAGTTAACTGTAACGCATAAAATTGAAACACTGAAATGTTCTGTTCAACAAGATAAGACAGCAGATTTATGATTTAGACGAATGATTCCAATGCTTATGAATTTTAATGTTTCGGATGGTGTATTAACGAATTCTAATTGTTTAACTGGAAATCGTTTATGTGTTCTGTGCGTTGATCAGGTTGTCTAGTGGTATAAATGAATGTCTACCACTAGAACACTCAGTCAAGTGAACTCGCAACAAATAATTGTATACTGATGTTGTGAAATTCAGTGAGATAAATTATAAAGAAACATTTTATGCGAAAACATTTTGTAGTTTGGTGTTTATTAGAACTGTTTATTTCATGGTAGTATTCTTCACAAATAGTCGTTCATTATCACGGATCGACAAAAGTAGGAAAGTGCAGACCATTAATCTCCAACCCAGTGGCTGGATGGCTAGCGTATTCGCCACCAGACCTGAGTAGGATCCCTGGCGGAGTCATGGAAGTAAGCTGCCGAAGAGTCCCACACTAGGACGCAACAGCTGTTAAGTGTCCTCAGGTGTTTAATGACTCCCAAATAATGCATTAATCAGTATAACGGGAAACGTTGTTAACCATAAATTTGAAATGAAATATTGAATGAGAATTTCGCTTCAAGCAGCACTGTAGTCTGCTTGAATATTTTTCAACTTAGTTGACTGTTTTGAGTACTTTTACGTTATTGTTGCTCGTATATGCATTTTAATGACATATTTTGTTGGCGGGATTCCTGACTTCGTAAAAAGTTGTCATCTTTTGCTTGAGTTGGTAGATTGATTTTGCTTCATTATATCTACTGACTGTTGATCAACAGGAGTGCTAAGTTTTAGCGAAAACTCTGTAACGCCTCGCGATTCCATATGTTTTTTCATCTCTGCTGCATTTGGAAATGCAGAAATGCTCTTAGGCGGCTGGAGGTGGTCGACAGGGACCCCTACTCCAGTTAGGTTTAATGCTTGTTAGCAAGTAGTATGTGCAACATCGGGGGCAACCGACGCCCTCCAGCTCCACCCAGTGCTGCAGTCATCAATCTAGTACACTGCCTATCACAATATTAGTTACTCTTCAATAACCAGTCAATGTATATCTTTCACTTCTGAAGGCGGTCAGTCACAGCCTAAGTAGCCCAGTGATCAGGTCTCCGACTGCAGCAATGAGTGACTCTGTTAAGGATCAGTAAGGGTATATCATTCCCCTCTAGGCTTCAGATATGCCTTGCTGACGAGTAATGACACGTACTAAACCCAGGTGAGTCACTGCTTGTGGCCTATTGCTTCCAATCACCTAAAGTACACTACAGTAGTAGGTATCTTAGCTTTACGACTACACTGGGAAATCATCGATATGATCCAGTTAGTACTTGAGACAACACCACAGGAAATTAGTTACTCTGCAGCAGCCAACTCATATGAAAATACTTGACCATCGATTAAAGTTCTTGAATGGGAAGACTAAAAGAGAAGATCAAGATATTCAGTAAGTTGTTTCTCACAGTTATTACAGATTGTCTAATGGATGATTCTCTTTTAGTCTTTCAATCTTTATCCTTTTCTGCACCCATGCAATATATCAACTTCGGTCAACTCTTCAGCATAAACTAAAAGACCTCTAGATATTATGTGATTGGATAAATATAGAACAATGTTAGATTATTAGGGCTGAGGCGTCAGGAGATAATTCTATAGTAATCAGTTGTATCCCTCACCTGTTCTAGTTTTCTGCTAGCCGCATTACTTATCTCCATTACAAAGCATATTCAACTGAATTGTTTTATTTAACTCTAGTCTTCATACTTTATTCTGTACACTTTCAGATAAACGGTAACAATAAAATGTTATATACAGGAAGTATTGATCATACAGCAAGATCATGGTCTATTGAAACTGGTAAACCGATAAGAACTTTTGCTAAACACAGTCGTACAGTAAATTATGTAAGAAACTATGAAGGAATGCGTAAGTTGCTTACTTTTCGTCTGTGAAACAACCGTCGTGAATGTTATCGGTAATTTCATCACAAACTTTTTCTGAGTTAGGAGTTTCATGTTGTTCGATAATTTTCAATGCAGTAATTTCAAACTTTAATATCGAATACCGCATATCTGCTTAACCTGAAAGAAAAATAATGATTGATCTTACCCATTAGTTATGCTAAAGACCTCAGTGATGGCAGGTATTCTATTTGGAGTGTTATATTGAAGTTATCGAATACTCTAATGTGGTGAGGAAAGGCATTTGAAGAAAGCCTATACAGTGAAGAATCAGGGATGTTATAGGAATTCTGTTGACTGACACCTATTTGTACGCATCTTTTAGTCATCATTGGTATTGTTTAAGATTAGCTTTTGATAAGTTTAGGATATACGACTTTGAAGAAGACTGGATTAATAAGAAAACTCAGGTATCTTGTTTCCTTGGACGGTTCGATCGAAACAAGAAAAGCGAAGTTCGCAGAATAAGCTGATAACTGACTTAAGCTTTTCTTTCAGCTGTGAATAGCTTTAAATAAAGAAGATTAAGGCATAGATGACAAACAGTGTTTGTGACTGCACACTTTTCAGCTGAAACTCTATTAACACTATGTTTGGGTGATTAACTTGCTTCCAAATAAACCGTAACCGATGGGGTTAACCTCGTTGGGTACAGTTGCAGATACATAACGACAGTGAATGATGACTGCACTACTTAATAAATTAATAAAATTAACGTAGACTATCGAATTCTAACCTAAAGACAGAATGGTAACCGGTTTGCTACGAGTTTTCATTATCATGGGCGCATGAGTGTGCACTGCTGTAAAGTCCCCAAAATGCAAGGAACGATTATCCAGAGCTGCCTTATCTTTTATAGTTTTATACCCGATGTAAATCCACGAAGGAAAACGTTTTCATGGTGATATGTTCCACTGCTTAACTGTGGAATACCTCACTATCCAACTGAAAAGATTGTGAATTTTGCAGTTTTTAAACATTTTGAGACAGATCCATCCTTAGTTCAAGGTCTTAGAATATTATATCACCATGATTGTTTCTTAGATCAGTAGGTATAGGTATACTGAACTGACCTCCTGCGTAGTACATTAACAGTTAGTATCCAAATCATCAAGTCTTTTTTCTAATATAACGGTTATTGGCATTTCCTCCGTACAATCGTGGTCAAGGTACCTTTTATTCTTCTAGTTTGTCAGTAAACTTGGTGAATAAATCCTTAAGTGAATTGCAGACTAATTCATTTGCTATTGATATACTTTATGTAGTGATAACTGCATGCAGTGATGGCTATGTGAGGTTTTTCGATGAAAAAACAGGAGAACTTTTGAAAATGCTGATTCATCCAAACAAGGAGGGTTGCGTTACATTTGAGGTAACTTTATTTTGCATAGTGTACTGAAAAAGGAACTTTTTATTACATTATAATGACCATAGGAGTCTCTACGAATAATCACACCAAAGTTTAGCAGATGAATTTATAGATATTGCGTTATTGATAGTATTTGGCTAGAAGCTTATTGCCTGGTTATTTCTTATGGCGAAATCATGAATCTAATTATGAGGTCAGGAGGTATGCATTCGAATGTTGTATAAATCAGCCTTAGAAATGTTGTTTCGAAATGTGGGTTGTTTTTTTGTACAGGTTTTACACACACCACCTCAACGGCTTTTTTAACGTCTAACGCTTACCAGTTTCGCGAAGTAGAAGCAAGGATCGTGTAAGAAAACAGAGTTATGTTGGTCCGGCAATTTTAAGTGCATTACAGCTGTCTAAAGGTGTCTGGGAGACCATACAAATCAGTGACTTGAGATGGTATCACATACGGCTGACAATTAAAATCAATAGAAATTATACTGTAGCGTCCCTGGATTTCGCATTAATCAAAGATAGTATTGAGATTATTGAAAGCGTTTTGAATAACCTTTATGTCACTAATGATTTCACCATTCTACCACCATTTTTCTCACTTTATTTTCGGCTTACTTCTTCGTAATTCCACTGAGTTATGGTACGTGATACACCTCTTTGTGTTCATGTTGCGTCGAGTTCATACTGTGACCACTCTGCAGTCCTGAATAAGATTTTTGAAGACACTTCAGCTGTAAAGAATCATCTTTGCTATTTAGCCTCGTTTTCAGTTGTTCAACGAATTGTGCCATTTTATACAAAAAATTATTTTTCACAATTCCTTTACCATAAATGAGAAGAAGGAATTATTTGATAACAGTTTCAAAGTGATTACTAAACTTTTATTTATTTGAAGGGTTGAAATGCTCTATCATTTACTCAGTTACTTTATGGTCATGCAGTGTTTCTTTCAAAGATTTATTACCACCCAGTTATTCAATTTAAGGTCAATGACTTCAAAGTAAATGATATGTGATTGATGAATGAGTGACAATAACTGATTCGTTATTCGATATGATGGGTACATGATATTTTCACGAATTCTGAATCACTCAATAGAAATAAACTGCTAGGTGAATACGGTATCAAGGCACTAGATGCTTTTGCAGATGATTCACTTCCTTACTTTTTACAAATCATCATTTTTACCAGAATTTCAACAGGGTCGAAAACGCCCTAGATACACAGTATACCAAAACTATTCCCGTAAAACTATGTGTCAACAATTTACTGAACGACACTTGCCGAATACGAAACTAAAACTTTGCATGCAATGTTTGTATCTTTTCAGAAGGTGAATCCATAGTTTACGTTAGGAGTTTGTTCTACGTATTAGTTAACCACAGCTCCAGTATTGCTCATAGTATAAATTGCATGCCATAAATTCGAATCTAACGTACGATTATTGCTCAACACTCCCAGAACACGAGATTTGTATTCGGTGCAACACCACAGTGATAGCATACGACAGAAAATGATAAAAGATGCAATCAAATTGTAAGCTTATCCTTGAGACAAAGAAAATATTCATCAAATTACATAACGTATTAGCGGTTGGGATTCGTATTTTTCTCCCATGTGGCGAGGGTTTTGTTCAAATTCTGGTGAAGGAGATCTCCCCCTCTTCGCCTAGAACGTCTTGGTATGGCATAGGTTGAGACGATCAAAGTAGTCCTCCCAAAATGCCCTTATATGGCTGTGTTCATGGTCTCTGCCAAGTAAATCCTATTCACTGCCATCACGTTACGAGGAGTGTTTTCATAAACGTGAAGGGGAAAGCGAGTGTCCAACGTTATCACTGGTTTTGTAGATACAAAAGGTACGCAAAGGTGAATTAGAAAACTCTGATTCTAAACCAGTGATCCATATGAAGTCACCATTCTAAAACGGATCAGTGTGGTAAAATCCTACTTCGGTCACTAATAACTATGGAAATATAGCAATACTTTCCTCCACTGCCTTGTGGATCAGACTTTGAGTCATATACTCAAGAAGTGATCCTTAAACACAACCACCTACTGCGGTTTAGGCGACAAGCTAGTATCAGAAATCACTTACAGATAGTACAAATACAATGAAACAAAAAACTTCCATACATTGCCCCAACCATCTTGCAAGTGACCAAACATAAACATTCTATGTTTCATTTCATAATCGTTACCTTTAAGTATGAATGACAGTGTTTTTTCTTTATCATTCTTAAATTTGAGTTAGTTTACATTCTTGCCTAACTCACCTGCCTGTCAATGATTCAAATTTTGGTTCGTCTGAACCATCTCCAGTTCCCACAAAACTATCTCCTAGTGTGACATCTTACTCAACTGTTCTGAAACAACGCAAACCACTTTAATTGAACATTTCAAACTTTCAGACCTTCATGCATATCGGAAAACAGATAGGTTTGGCTATAACTCTAAAATGCCTCACTATTGGCGTATACCTATATATATATATATATATATATATATATATATATATATATATATATATATATATATATATATATATATATATACATATTCTTCTTATGTCTCGGTTCTTTCTTCCTTCCTTCTGTACCATTTTACGTCTTTTTAGTGTTGCTACATTTCATTGCATGTCACATCCCTTGCGACACACGTTGTAGTACGTTCGTTCTAAATAATTAAAAAACAACGTAGTACGAATAGATAAACAGAATATGGCTACCTTGTGTGGTCTGTCAAGGTTAATAGGAAACACAAGGTACGTGTTGATGCATGGTAAGAAGTAACCGGTAATAGATGAACAAAGTTTTCAGAAGTAACACTTACAAAAAAATAAAACAATAACGGAGGTAGAAATACACTTAAGAATATAAGAGGATGAATGGAAGTGAAAGCAAGTGTGAAACAAACCTTGTTGTAGCTAGTCTTCAACTGGTAGTTTGGGGGATTGACTGATTTGCGGGTAGTATTCATCACGGAATAATATCAACTAGAGAACCATTGAAGATCTAGGACTCCTGAGAAGTTGTGCAGTATTGATGAGTCCCATCCTGAGGCGAAACAGTTATCTAGTTCTCTGCAGTTGGGAATGGTTAGTAAAAATGTTCAAGCTTCAGAAAATGTACAAGACTGAATACATCTGCACTACTTTTCAACAGTGTCACAAAAAGCCTTCAACCATTGATTCCTATGCTATTAGGGACCACAGTAAGGCAGTCTACATCTTCTTATATAGCTTAGACCAAAGGTGAGGTACTTCGTGACCCAATGCTATCCTGAGGTATATTCGAACCCAATCCTACTAGCCTAGTCTGTGATGCTCAGTGAAATGCATGGAGCAGAAAACTAACTGAAAAGTGATTATCGATATTAAACGATCAAATGCCAAGATCTAGCAAAGACCAAAACAATTTCCACACCCATCCTGAGTTGAAAACCTTCTATATTATCATTCCTAACTAGTAAGAAGTACTATAAAATCAAAAGCGTAGAAGAGGATTGATGAAGATATACCACCTGAAGAACGAAAAATGACACAAACGATGTGTTAAGGTGGATGACGATTACACCTAAATTTAACTCATATTGTCTGAAATTACCCCAACCTTTTGGCATTCCTATGAAGTTGATAGGATGTCAAAGCCTTAACACTTTTCCAAACACGACGAACTGCTTGTTTGCCTCTTTTAATTGTTCATTATATCACATTCTATCCACAAGCTCAAATTTTAAAGTGAACAATGATTTATGAAAAAATCCCTAGAACCCCTTTGATAGGAAGCGGTCTAAATCGAAATACGAATCCTATGTCATAAGCCGCTAAGGTAGGAGTTTTTTTATTTCAACCTTACTTCATGTTACTGTGTGGGCAGCAAAACCTTATTGGAAGATTTTGTCCTACAACTTAACAATGAAGATAAGTATCCAACTGCTGACCTAGTGGCATTATTTTCACAGGTCGGTCTTTGCCTTCTGATATTTGCGGCTCATTGAAGTTTCAGGTCTAAGGGAAAACAGTTGCTACTCGTATACAGTCCAAGTATCTCATTGCGTTAGTCGCACTCTCGTATCTCATATTATTCTGTCAGTCACTACCACTCGGTCATTTCACCTTTATAACTACAAGACTCCATGCTTGGGATCACTTTATTCTGGTTGAGGTAACATAATTTGTGAGTGAATGTGAACATAGAACTTGGTTACTAGAAGTGTAAAATAATTTCACATTCGTTAATATAAGTGTACGACTTGGGTACTTTGATAGAATATAATTCCATCTAAGATTTGTTTATTTGATATATATCGCACAGTGATACAATATTATTTACTTGATTACATTTTGAGTATACATTATAACTTATAATCATATCAATGTTGATTATGAGCAATAATTTATGCTCTAAACGTCCAAAAGTAAATAATATTGTATCGCTGTGCGATATATTTCAAATAAATAAATCTAATATGGAATTTCATACTAGAACTAATTATTCTATATAGCACAGTTATGTGGTAATACTTTCTGGATAACATTTCGATCACATCACGGTTTTCATGGTCACATTCAAGAAGTCATGATACTTTCGGAGCAAGATCAGGCGACATCTTTTAAAAAGAATACTGTATTACCCTGTGCTACATTATCGAACGAGTATAACTAAACTGCGGTGTTATAGGAAAGGTAATTATCCCTTGAAAATACTGAAAATAACTACCAGAAAACTTGCCATTTTTGAATCCCACCGTTTTTCGATTTTCAGACTGCATACGAAATTTCGTAATCCGTTTCAATAACCTGCACTTTGCATGATCTGTAAGAAAAAGACAATAGTGCAGAAGCGCCTCAAGGGGTACACAAAGTAGATTTGATCATTAAAAGTTATAGAATAAAAGATAAATGTATTCAGCTACTGTTTCTTTTAGCTGTTTCTAATTGGTTCGTAGTTGGGTCAAGAAATTGAAACGAGCCTACGAAACAAGCTTGTAAGTCCATTGTCCAATGCTCAATCGTGTCGAGTTATGCTAAGTGGATGTCCTATCATTAAGTGGACAGACTGTAGACTTTATGTTTACTTAATAATGATAATGATAATAATAACAATAATAATAATAATAATAATAATAATAATAATACAGATACGCAACTTCATCATGTGAACAGCTTTCTGTCATCTTTTTTGTTCTACACGCAGTTGGCTTTTCTATCAATCGCTGTTAACAAGTACCACACTACTTATTGTAACTAAGTAGTATAATGTACTTCCAAAAACGTAACACATTCTTCTTGCTTTCTTAATTCAGATTTATGGTAACTACTTATTCTCTGCATCAAATGATGGTAAACTGTATGTATGGAATTACTATGATGAAAAAACTATGAAAAGAGAAAATTCAAATGACAGTTAATTATCGGTTCACTGGTTAACTGATTGATTTAAAATTAACTGTTGATAAATACATATCAATTCACAAATCAATATTGATCATAAAATGTTTTAAACTGTTAAAGTCTCTACATTATTATTATTATTTTGAATAAGAATTTTAATGAAAAGTTGCTAACTTGTTTCTTGAGTAAACAATATCCAGCCTAGAAACATTATCATTTTTCCTGCTGTTAATTTTTACCCGAGTGTTAATATCGCGTTGTAGACAGACTTTAGAAATTGTGGAGAATGGTTATAGATAATGCTGTTTATAGCTCAGAAAATTACAAGACTTTTTAACGAATCTTCACTCGCTGAAATCGTTTTAAAATTAATACGTTTTGATGATTATTTTAACTATCTGAGATAGTTATGGTTTGACAGACTAGTATTTGGGATGAGAAGTCCTAACTGGGCAGCCAGTATGAGTACTATTAAGCGATAGAAACGTGTCATGAATTCACATATTAGTCGGAAAAAACTGTTGGTGATTGAATTAAAATAAAAATTTGGTCAGCAGCCGAGTCTTGAAGCTCATTTAGTAGAACACTAGGGTGGAAACACTGTAGTCACTGGTTCGAATCTTGCAGTATCCCTCATTTTCATTTCACCTTCAATCATCACCCAGAATGAAATATTTTGATAGGTATCCGATCGTCTCCAACCTGATTTAACTGAATACTAAGTGATTATTACAAGAATAAAAGAGGAATACCAATTCTGACTGGTCGTCAGTGTTGTATTCAAGTTGTTTTGTAGTAAAAATTATTTGCATGATGTTGGATATGAGACTTACTTTACAATTTCATTGTTGTTGGAAGCGATTCGTTGTGTTAACCCCAGCTGTCTCTTTATTTAAAACGACCAACAATAATGAAATACATTGAGACAAACGTTTATTCACCCATTCCGGGGTAAGTGCACAGGACAGTGAGAAGCATAAATGATCGAAAATAAGCGGTTTATGAAATTACATTCCCTTTCACTCATTATGCAACCAAACTGTTCTAGTTACGAGAAATTGTTGATGAAGATAAGCTCGGATAGAGCGAGAGTGTGAAAGAGGATGATCAATTTGATCTACACATTGCACAGTCCACGTTGACATTTCCTACAGTTGAGTAGTTTTTCAACTACCTAACTGTGGTATGAACAAGGTTTCCGCTGGAAACCAGTCACCCGTGGTCACAAGGCGTGACCTCTGACATAAAACTGTCAATAACTAATGAAAGATACTACTACTGAACAGTTTGAGTAGTTAGAAACCACTCAGGCTAATTTGTAGTATTTTATCAACCAGATGAGGGTGATCTGAACACCGGATGGCCGCTTTGCTCGTTTGGGGCTGAACTTTTCAGCGATGCAACCGGATAAATGACCAAAGCGGTCGTCCAGTGTTTCGATCATCCTGATATGGCTGATAAGATACTACAGATCAACCTGAGTGGTACTTAACTACTCAAGCTGTTCAGTAGTAGTAACTTTCGAGAGAGCGAAAGATGTGAACTAGCTCGGTTTCAGACGCATGGCTCGAGGTTACATTCTACCATCTTCGTACAAAGTATTCTGCGCTCATAAATTTTAAGATGTTAGCGAATCTCTATTATCTACAACAGTAGGGATACTGGCTAAAATTATTGACTAAGTATTGCAAGATCATACTTATTATATTTGACATGAAGATAAGTCCTAACATTAGCAACGCATGGAGAGTTGAATGAAACGCTTTGAAAAAACTCAAGTTTCGCTATCCGAAGTGTTACTGTTGCTACTGAGTATCTAAGAGCCGAAACATGGGAGGAATTCATGTATGCAGTTCCTTTTGTGAAGTTTGAACATATGTCAAAAAAAATCAACATCGAATTTGATATTACTGTGTAGCGATCTAGGTTATCACATTTTATTTCAGCACATTCAGCAAGAATGCACTCAAATGAAAGATAGAGAAGTAATGAAGAAAACAGTCAAAGGTGGCAGAAAGTCGTCTAGAGAGGGCAAAGAAGAGTGAGAGGATACTGAAATTCAGTTTGATGATTAAGATGAGAATATGTGGATACATCTGTGCCACCGAGATCGATTCTGAACCATATCACCTAGTCTCCAGTCACCAGTTACTGTAGTCATGCGGATCCAACCCGGCTAGTCTGTATTACTCTGCATGGGTATCATCAACAGTCAAAAACTTCATGCACTGATACAATTTTTTAATCTGATCCCCCCGAGCCCTTTCCTATCCTGAACCTTCTTCAGATAACTTTGTGGGACGAGGCAGTCGGTGACTAGGTTTGCGTAACATTTTTCCCAGCTACTTGATTCGATGAAAGTTAGCAAACTCCCTAACTGACTTACCTCTTCTGGTTGAAACTCCACCCAAGACTTTCACATTGCTGACATGGTGGTCCCATGACACAAGACCTATGCTACGAAGGCAAAGGTGGCCAAACGTCTGAAGCCTTCTACCTATAATGCATATGTTTCACAGCCAAGTAGTAGCAAAGAGCGAATTAAAACGGAGTACACTGTATCTTTAAAGGCAATCGGATGCCAAGACGTTGCTGCAGTGTATCCCTAATGCATCGGTCGAAATGTGTTATCACCAAAGTCTATCTCATTAAAAGGTTGATGGGCAAAGGGAAAAAATACATGAATCATCAAGCGACGGGGAAAGACTACTACTCAACAAGCTCTAGTTCAAAATACATGCACCAAATGAGATTCTGCATCAAGAATAGCACGGGTTATTAAAATAACTTTGTATACGGTTAAATCCAGCTGACTACTAAGAAACTGGCTTACCTGCTGTTTTGGAGAAAGTTAAATATAGTTGACTATTAGGGAACTGGAAAGGCGCTATTGATCATCTGACTTTTTTATTAGGAAACCGAAAAATAATGCTAATTCTAAGCCCAATCTTATCGATATTAGAGACTCAGTTCAAACTCATCTCCTGGACATAGATGGAGCGATAAAGATTCAAGTAATTGACTTTGACCTTTGTTATTCTTAAAAACCAGTACAAACCTTGCATCCGCTATGGTCAAATAGGACTTCGCAAACGACGTTACCACTGAATCATTTCAGACCTACACAATTCTCAATTCTTTCAAGTACAAGATTAATGCTAACACTGTTTATTCGCCCTTTTTGGTATTACTCAGCCTTCATTTTCGTAAATTTTGATATTCCCTGACTAGTGGGACGCCTTTTCGCATTATCACCCTGTTTTTATCATTCGTATCGCCGCTTGTCTTACGGTTATTATCCATTGCACACTTTAAAACTGGATTACTACTGAACCACAAATCGTCATGGTTGGTTGAATTTTTGCTGGCAGCTAACTAATATCTATCAGAGTACATTAAGATGGTGAATCTCCTAGCTTGATGACCACAAAGTTAAATGGTCACCAGAATTCGATCAGTAAACTAGAGTAGAAATAAAATTGGTCACTGTCTAGTGACCAATCAGTGTATCTAATTCAGCCCTACAGGAAGTCAGTCGCAACCCGAACAGCTCAGTAGTGATGCTTCTGACTCCAGCAGTGGGTAGCGTGGATTCGAATCCTACAGGGTACATCAGTTCGCTCGAGGTTGTAGATTGCCCTTGTTAACGAGTGCCAAGAAGCATGAAACCTAAGTTCATGGCTTCCTGCCAATTACCAACCATCAATTAACATCTGTCAAAGTGCACAGAGATGGAAAGACTCCCAGCGTCGCAGTGACATTGCAAAATGATCAGTAGGATTCTGTTAACACTAAATTCACTACTCTTCAATGATCAATCAAAGTCAGTGTATAGTAGGATAATGCTTGAAATTAGTACAACTCAGAAGTCATGTGCACTTTTGCATATTTGAAAATAAGCCGTACCTAAGGTGCAGAAGTTTAGAATATTAGGTAAAGGCCTGGACTTCGATCAGTGAAATGAATTTTGAACATGCCACCCACTGATTTTAACACAACTGTCTAGACTAATGGGCGAAAACTTCACTAAGAAAATAAAACATATTAGCTTATACATAAGTATGTAGCATAAAACCCTAACCTCGCCTAGTTTACCATCCGGTCCTAAGCCCGGATAAAAAGGGAAGGTTGGGCATAGATACGCGTAGCAACCCTACCCCGGAAAACCAATCTAATCCCTAAAGAAACTTCAAAGCATGGAGAAAATATAAAAAATAAACTTATTCCTCGCTGGGATCGGGGAGACGAAATGAAGCCAGTTATTGAAAGTCTTCGGGAAGCCTATTAGTCGATATGTCTTCTCTTCTCTCGATGAAAGCAAAAGTAAGCATAGAGACATGGAATGTCTGCAAATTACTACTGAAGCCCTATGTTCCACTAGGAATCCAAAGGACAAATAACAGAAATAAAATAAAACCCTGATTGAGAGTGACTTTAATGGCCACCCTAACAACTGATGCGACAGCCAATTGCATCCCTTCATTTTATGGAAAACTACTTTTCCAGGCAAAATACCAAAGCCTAATTGGTCATTTCAGTTGTTGCTGGGGTAGCTTTTAAAGTCATTCCTCATTGAGCTTGACACACAACTATACAGTCACATGCTATCGTATCGAGATTGACCGATCTAGCAGCATACAGTCATCATCAGAGCATGCGATAAGCCAGTAAAAGCTTGAAGAGAGTTTACAATTCGGAAAAATGCTATTGGCGTATATGTATAATTTTAATTTAATCGAAAGACGACACATCCGGTTGCTACCTATATTGATTGGTAAATAAGTCTTTACTTAGTTGAAAGATATTTTTACCAACCATTGGTTAGACGCCTTCTGTGCGTTGAATCAAAGCAATTTCGTACACCTTATATTCATGACTGTGAACTGAGCTTTTTCCTTCACTTTCCATACACTTACCAGCTGTTACGTGTATGATGCTTTTATTATGATGTGACATTTCCACTAATCAGATCGTCCTCTTAACTCTCACTGGTTTGTACTCTGGCTGTCATGTGTGACTACTTAGAGACTAACTCTGATTTCTAGTTGCATTTATGTACCAATTATATAGTTAAGGAATATTTGGAAAAGTGCAATACGATCCGTTGTCATGTCATTCTGTATTTTTTAGTAAGATGGATTATCAACACCAGTGTTCACCTAACCTTGGAACAAATTGGAGTTTTGCGATATCCAATATTAAAACTATACATTATCACAGAAAAAAAGCCCATGAGACAATTACTCAAAAGCATAGAACATTGGAGTCTTGGTTGTTGTAATTAGTGTCTTTTAGGTACTGACTACTTTCAATTGTCCCCTTGGTAACCACAATAATGTTCTGTCGTGAGTAAAGCAATTAAACTTCAGCATTATTTGTTAACCAACCTAAGTCAATTTTAGTCACAGAGAAACAGTATCATTTATAAGATAGCATTTCGGATATAATTAATTGTCCACATTTATATCAAGTAAATTCACGACTGTGAGACAGTTGATATAGTCCTAACTTTCTCTCCTTCTTTGTGACAAGGGTAGTAGAAATTTTCATATATCTGAAACAGGTGCAGAATCATTTCCATTCCATTTATTTGCTGTTGATTCGATAAACAAAGATTCAGCTGAATTTTGAGGGAGTTGTGGGGATTTGGAAATATTTCAAGTTGTTAGCGGTTGCGCTATATAGTGAGCTAACAGAAGTTGGATTCTGACCCAGGGGAAACGTGCTGGCCACAGAACCTGAAGGTTGCAGGTTCGATCTCTGGCGGGGTCGCACTGCTGAAGAGTCCCCTACCATGACGAAACAGCTGTCCAGTGCTCCTAGGTTTGCTTTGTTCCTTCAACTGATGTCAGTCCACGATGAATAACAACTTGAAAGATTCAGTTATCAACCTCTCCCTTCAGACAACTAAGTTTTTAATACTTTCGCTCTATCCCACCCTATTGTGTGATTTTGTGTAATTATGCGCATAGCTAAAGCCGAATTTTCCACTAAATTTCCTATCTTATTAACATCTACTAATCTTGATTTAGCTATGCTTTTATGCTCTGTTATTAGAATTGACCCCGGTTGACTAATTTGGCCTACCTATTTAACCTCGAAATCATTATGAGGGATTTGATAAACTAAATTATTGTACCTAAATGGATCTATAGAATCTTTTAAACTACAAAGCTTGTTTCGAAGCGAGTCTCTCGGTTTAAATGCCACTTTAATTTCAACCTTAATGAGAACTCTTCGTAGTGTTTTTAAGGTGCCTTCTTTGTATTGTAACACAGCGGAGGCTTTGAATTCTCTCTCAACCCTGTCGTCATTACTACTACTATCAGTAAAATTATTATTAATGACACCTTTTTTACTACTGTAGTGGGCGTTGCTGAAAAGAATGGGTATGAGTGGTATAAGTTGTGAGGGTGGCAGAAATCATAGGGATTTACCAGCAACGGGTAAGGATTTTTCCCACAAGAGACAGTGCGGGCGTATGAAGAGCAAATCAAGAGAGAAGCAGAAGAGGAAATGAAGCACACTTTGCAAATGACTGTCTCAGTGCAAGGTGTACCATATTTAATGACTACTGCACAACGTGTTAATAGTAAACATCCCTTGCTTCCTTGGTCTCTCTTCTAGTTCCCCACACTACTACTGCTCATATTTCTCTTTTGATTTCTAATGAATTTATTTACAAATTTAGGTAGGTGATTATTGAGACGCAAGGTATTCTTTATGTGTCTACTTTCTGGCCTACTAGTAATCTTTTTTGCCCTATTATCCAAGCATTTAACTGAGACTACTTTAAGTGAGATGATTTGAAGTCTAAGTAACGATTCAAATGTAAAGGATTCCCATAGACACTAGTTATTAAACTCCCATCGTTTAATCTTGCAATCCAACATTGCAAGCTAACCTTCATTACTTTATAAGTCAGAGGTAAATTGGATTGCATTCACTACCGAATTTAAGTATGTCAAGAACCTATTGATGTGTTTCAATTTCAATACTGACAATACAGTCTACCGCAGTGCTCAAGTTTTACTCCTATATCAACTTCAGTCAACTTGGCACGTTACATTATCGCTACCCAGTACCATCAATAAGCATCTGTATCCATCGCTAAACATTTTTCCAGCTTGTTATCCTGTAATAAAATCACAAGAATCCACAATGAAAGCCAATAAATAAATCGTACTGATCCTTTATGATATGACTTCTTTTCTTAATTCTTTTGTTCGAGGTAGCTAATTTGTAAGTGAGTTATTCCTAAAGAATGAGGATTGGATAGTAATTAGATTGGTAATTTGTGGGGATTGATTAATTTCAAGGTAATAATCCTCATGAAATGGAATAATTATTTAGTACTCTCAGGTTTTCAATAATTCTTGAACTGATATCAGCTTGTAATGAATACCGCCTGGGAATTGATGGATCTTCTACAAATGATCAATAGAATTGTCGAATAACTGAATGCATATGTATTTCACGAAGTAGACTATCACTTATACACACGGAAATGAGGTGTTATCATTTTTATCCAATCAGTATATGAGAAATGGTAGGTGATAAATTTTCACTAATGAATAAGAAGCTATATTACTATCAGTTAAGGCAAGTTCCAAGTGACTCTGTAGAAACTGTACACATGCTTAACAATTCAGACTGCTTTTGTATGAACAATATGGCAGTTACATGTTATCGCTATTATGCTCCCAATTAACAAGTATTATTAGTCACTCTTCTGGTACATATTGGCTACAAATTGGTATTATACTCAGGAGACTAGAGGATTTTACCATGAAAAACACTATTAAGAGCCGTACAACAAGAAGCATTGAAGAAATGCCAGGCATCGAACCTGAGTCCCACTGATCTCGACAATCAACCTCCAACCAGTTAGCGTCTATAGCACTCATATAACAGGTGTGGCTTATTGTTTGCTGCACAATAGCGAACGTGGTTGGTCAGTGCATTTCGATTTGATTCAAGGTTCTCAAGAAGCAGGATTTGAGAAATCGCTAGAATACTGGGACTCACAAGAGACAGTAGGGTATTAGCGAATTAGAAGTTAGTCCCTGGGATGAAGAGAAGTGTAAGAAAAAAGGAGAGCTCAACAATTGACTAAATATAGCATGTAACGTGAAAACTGTACCCTTCAACATATCCATAGCTAAGCATGTGAAATTATTGCACATAGTCCTACTTAGACAAATCATTGCTTCCTCTGCGCTATACACCAAATATTTCATCTGGATGTCATAAGTAGGCTGACAGGAGTCGTCTTCTCTCTTTACGCAACCACCAACTGAAACGATCACAATATTAAAGCGTATTCAAAAAATACCAATGCTATCAAATAAGTAGGTAGCTAAGTTCGTATTTCCAGGACACAAGCACCAAAATTACACTATTTTCCTACAGAAGCTAGATGATAACTGCACTGAAAGTGACACTGGTACGTAACACCATGTATTTTATTTGCAGTAGGCCTAGACAAAGCACACTGTGAAGACTTACCACACAATTCAGCTGAGAAAGCAATAATAATGAACGGTAATTGGTGTGACTCACTCATGTAAAGTAAGTTCATGCACTAGGGTATCATTTTCAACTCTTGGATAACAGTTAGTAATAACACTACCCTACTATCAAAACTTCAGCAGATAGGATGAAGTTCAGGCAAGTAATCAACTAGTTGACAGTTGAATGTCTAAATGTGACTAACCAGAACTTCACAAACTACAACAGAAACTTCTATGACTTAATAACTAATTCTCGAAATGCAATACAGCTTTATTTAGAGTGAACAAATAGAACATACAACTGCAATTCAGATCTCTAAAAAAAATTTGTAGTAAATAATCTCAATACAGATACTTCATCGTACAAGGGATACAAACAAGTAGTTGATGAGAGCCAAGTAAAGAAATTTTAGAACCTAATTAAAAGATAAACTTACTAAATCATGATCAAACTGAAATCAATAACAATAATAGAGATGAAATAAAAGGTTATTATCTGAAAATGCTCTTGTTCTTAAGTATAATTAAGTAAATACTCAAAGAAAGTCAGTTTCAAAGCATCTACATCTCGACAGATTAAAATTCTGCGTATTAGAGAAAAAAACTCAGAACATATCAAAATGTGAGAAGACATAAACAACGGGAATGTTGTGGCAATATGAGGAAACTTTTAGGTAGATAATGTAGATATAGTGACGACTGACAGCAGTCTATATAGATATTCCGCATTTGTCTAGAAGTGATGTAGGCACTTCACCTTGATCTATATACTGACATAACTCGAGCAACTGAAACACAATTTACAATTGACGAACAAAATGATAAGAAATTACCTTGTCAATATCACGTTTCATCCTAATAACGGTCAATTCGCGTAGTCTTACACTTTCAGCCAGATACTGAATTCGAAGAGCTTTCCGTTTCCTACAGTCTTTAGCGCTTTCAGAGCTTCTTGAAGTTGTAGGAATGGTTGTATCAGCACTTAGATGTTTATCGAAAACCATATTATTATCACTGTTTGGCCGTTTCATTCCCTCTGTGTGTATACTACGATCACTCTAAAATTTCAATTGAACGAAAATTACCATACAGATCATTTATAGTTATTTAAACCACTGTTGAACCGTACCGAAAATCATAAAGCAAAGAAAGGTTCTGTCTCACGACGTATCCTAGCTTTTTTCCTCTACTGATAAATCTGTTGGGTGTATCAACAGCAAAGTAAGGTTAAATGGTAGGGTGCTGCAACTCTTGTTTCACTCAAGATACTTGCAGATTGCTAAGTTTACACTTATTCAGCAGGAACCTTATAGCAGAACAATACTCTTATTTCTCGAAGACTTTATTCGTATGAGAACAACCTGAATAGAGACAAATTAATGTAGAACCACGAAAAGAAATGTATCGCTTGAAGTTGTTACGTTCACATAAACATGCAAAGAGCAAGCTGATAGCAAACCGAGTGACATCAAATTATAAGAATAGTGTGTGCAAGGAGAAAGAATTTGAGAAGCGAAGGTTAGTGTAAATGTTAAAACAGTGAATTACCTCCCTTGTAACAGACTTTCAGAAATGTCACAAAACATCTCCAAACACTGATTCCTATACTTTCAGGGACCCCAGGCAGGTAGTCTGCACTTAAATGGCTCAAACCAAAGTTCAGAGAATTCAAGGACTGCAATGACATTTTGGTCACGCCACCCCTAGTCTCCTTCGGTTAGCACTACATGTCAAGGTAAAAGGTGGCTCGTATCTCCTACTTTCAACGCCCATGTCTCACACCGTATAATAAGATAGATTGGACTGCAGAGCGAGACACTCCTTTAATAGGTAGTTGGATATCTCACCGACTCCAGAGGTGACGTATTTGACAAATACCTAAGGGTTCTTTTGCATCCGAAATGGGATTACACCAGCAACTAACCCATTTGCCCCGATCCAACTCCCCAAGTAAGTGAAGCGGTCAACGCATCCAACCATTTCACTCTGTATTCTTAACTAAGAGCAGATGCAAACCATTCTTGAAGCATCATCTCATCTCTGAAGAGTGCAAAACACATACCAAGCATACTCAGACTTCTGCTGAAGGCATTCAGGAGACTATGAACTTTGTCAACATATTAGCCTAACAAGACGTCCACTGAGTATCCCAGGTCAGCCAGGTGCCCTACAGAGAATAGCTCGATTCCCGTGTCGTATCTAGCGTTATGCCCAAAAGCACAACTATAACAACGTAGAACAAGAATGAGACAGTGGGCAATTGTGACAGACAACACTGGCTGTCATCATTTCAGATGACACACCCCATCCAAAAAAGCCCATACAGTAAAGGAGAATTCAAGTAAAGAGCTTTGATAACTATTATATACTTCCTCGTCACTCCTCTTGCAATCAGATAATACCACAATACATCATGGTAAACAGAGTCAAATGCTATCTTCAGGTCAAGAAATATGTCAATTATCGCCAACTGATAAGCATGCCTGTGTTCCATGACCGTGTGAAGGGTGAGGATCTGATCGATACATCCTTGTCCAGGTGGGAAACCTGCCTCGTTTGCTTCAAGTTAGTGTTCTCGAGCTTTAGCTAGGATTTTGAATATGATGTTGGTAGAACTGGTTCCCCTACAACTATCACAAGAAGAATCAACTGTTTAGACCAGTGAGTTACAGCTTTCCACTCCAATTAGGTCCAAAATATGGAGGTCCCACTCTCGTCACCAGGTTACACAGAGGTTGACCCAACCATAGGTGAATTTTCGTTAGACCTAGAATATGCTGATGGCATAGTCCTGTTAAGTGAAGATACTGACAAGATGCAGAGTCTTCTGAACACTGAGTGGCACTTTGACAATGTTTGGGATGCGGTTCTCACCACCCAAATGCAAATTTTTGCTTCACGACTGGTCTCCAGAGGTGCTATGGGTAACAATAGAGAGTGAAGTGGTTAAGTGTGTTGACCACTTCACTTACCTGGGAAGTAGGAACAGCCCTAGTGGGTCAGTTGCCGATGAAATCTCTGCACGGATACAAAAGGCTCGATTGGCTTTCGCCAATTTGTGCCACCTATGGCACTGCCGTGATATCCGTTTGTCTACTAACGGTCGCGTGTACTGCACAGCAGTCCGGTCTGTTCTACTGTATGGCTGTGAAACATGGCCATTGAAAGTGGAAGATATGAGAAGGCTTCAGGTGTTCGACCATCGTTGTCTTCGTAGTATAGGCCGTATTCCGTGGTGTCACCACGTGAGTAATGCAGAAGTCAGGAGTAGAGTTTTAGGGAGAAGAGGTAAATCAGTTAACGAGGTTATGAACCTTCATCGATTGAGATAGTTGGGACACGTACTACGTATGCCTAGTCACCGATTACCTCGTCACACAATGTTGGCCGAAGTAGGTCCAGGCTGGAAAAAGGCCCGAGATGGCCAGACTAAAACATGCACCAATGTATGAAGTCTCTGACTGTTGGTTTGAGCCATGTGGGGCGATGTAGACTAGGTGGTTGGGTTCCGCGGGACAAGAGGAACCAGTGGTTGGAGACTCTAGGGGATATGGCTCAGAACCGATGTCAATGGTGCAGATGCATTCACACATTATCCTCATCTTAACGACGCTATACCGAATCTCACCATTTTGTCATTCCTCTTTTCTTCTCGTACTTAATATTTCTTTCGACTGTGTTCTCTTATCCTCGTCCTTCACCTCACTACCTTTCTACTCGATGTACTGTACAGAGCTGTGGCAACTTAGACTGTTACGCAGTAATGCCTGGTCATATGTTGATATTGATTGATTGGTTGGTTGAGGCTTTGATCACCTAATCCCCGTATGACAAAAGGTAAGGAGTTGACATAAACAAAACATCAAGTGACAACCTGTGACGAACTGGACTCCTTCTGAAATAATCTGAGGTCTTTTCTTTTCTTCGTCCAATGTTACCAAATTGCTAAGTATTTTGAAATATTTAGTACTTTTAGTTGTCCATGAGGCAAAATTTTGGACGGTCATTCAAAGTTACGAGACGGTGGCATGATTTGCAAACAGGACTCACGTATAGAAGTTGGTTTAACTTCACTGAAACACTAATGGAAAACTCGAACAGGTTTTTACATGTTTTTGAAAATTATCCTCTTTAGTTTCTCAAACTAACAAATGCATTTTATACCCTTAAAATTATTCTTCAGATACTATTAGCTCAAGGTCTTTTATGAGTTTGTTGTCTGTAGTCGCTACTCCCTAACTCCATCACACAAAAAGCAGACAGAAGGTTAAGTGACCGGTTTATCAACAAGATTCTGCCTGGAAATTAACTTTCCAAAAAATGTAATAACACGTTATGATTAACACCAGTATCCCAAGTCTTTATCAAGGCATTTGAAGGCACTGCAGAGAGAAGAAAATACCCGGAACGGTTTTGTTGCGACCTTATTAGTGTGCAAATATCTTCAAGTCATGGCTGACTATCACTCCGAAGTTTTTAATTTTGTGGAAGTTAGGTACTGGTGCTCCATCTATTGCGTACTGATGACAGCTGTTATGACTAATTTGCATATCTACACATTCGCTTGAACGAATTTATGAACACAATAGCTTAGACCAATGGACTAGTTCATCCAAGTCTACTTGTAATGCAGATAAGTCAACACCAATGTGGTAGCTGATATTACTGTGTAATATTTCAAGTCCCCACATATAAAGACATTGTGTGATGCATATCTACCTACCTTGTTACAGATAACCTTCCATAAGTTCACGTAATTGGCAAATAATTACAGTAGAGGCTTAATCATATCTGAGAGTTCGTTGGAATAAGGTAAGAAAAGGAAAGGACCAAAGATTGTTGTTTGAGGAACCTTCTTTATAGGTTGCTACAGTGTTATATTCACCCATACCGTCTCCATTCACACAAGAATCCATTAATTGTAGTGTCAAATCTAGAACCTGAGAGGTTTTTCATTAATTCAACGAATACATCATCTATGAAGAGCTTACTGTCACGAGGTGCTACCATTTCTTTCTTGCTATGAGGAAGCTACTTAAAGCAAGAGTGAGCGGTGGAAAAGACATGTTGTAGTGATATGAAAAGACTATGGTCTTTGAAACAACTGAACACTCTATCCCAGATAATCTCGAACACTTTGATAACCACACAAGTTAGACTAACGGGACGACAGTACAGTAACGATTGCCTATTAAGTGTCTTTGGGTTGATTATGGCATCTTTTCAATCTCTAGGAAGCCAAGGCTGACATAGGGACATACTGAATCACTCCGAAAGCGGTCTTTCACGAAGAATAACAGTCTTGAATACAAGCCACCAGGACCAGGGGGCTTGTCACATTAAAACTACCCAGAAGCCGAAGAACAGCCTCTCATAAAATAAGAACTGGACTAATGGATCTGGGATTTCCGGTGGTTTGTCGAAGTAGTGACATCCTGTACTAAAAGATCTCACTGAACTAGTCGTAAGGAAACAGGTTTGGAAACGTTGGACTTTGCCAACTCCTTTGAATCGTGAACTAATAGGAGCGACGGGACTCTATTCATGCGTTTAGTTCTCCTTTCAGTATGTATGAACAGCCGTTTTGGGCAGGCGTGAGTCAACCACAAGTTACGTTTCGCATTCTATTTTGAACCTCGTAATACTTGATTTACACACTTCTGAGTTTGCGATACAGAGTCTTAAATGCCTTATTGTCTATTTTTTAAAATACTTCTTATAGTGCTTTCCTCCTACCTAGAACTCTCAGAGTACTCTTATCAACTCATGAAGCAATGAGAATGGCTACGTGGAGTTGATTATTGAATAAACGGGGAGTTTACATCGTCAAATACAGCTCTAATTTTTTTCAAAGCTTCTCACACGTTCTTATCCACAGTGCAATCTGATGTGACTGCACAGTTCCTGAAAGCCCACACCTCCATAACCATGCATTCCGTCTAGGGGAAGGGGGCGATTCGCATTCTAAGTGTGGAGCCTAGCAAGTATGAATACGTGTTCACAATTTATTAATAGTGAGAAGCGTTGAAGGTCCATCGCCTCCACTCTGTATAAGAAACGAATGTACGAGATATCTTTGATGCTCCTGGTTAAAACGTACTGAATTGATGAAGTTTTAAACCACATTACTCTCTAGGACTGAGAAAAGCAAGCCGCTATGGAAGCAGTTACCTGGATTTGGAGTTGAGCTTTGCCAAGTTGATGCGCAATCTGTTTGGGCCACCTACTATCAAGCATCGGTTACTACTACTCTACTCACGTCAAAGTCATTTGATAAGCAGCATAGACTCTAGTAGATTACTTTAATTTTGAAGAAATCTTCAACAAACTTATTAATTCCAACGTCCCATTTACATGTGCTTCTGAGTCGGTTCACTTTATGGTAAGAGTCGATATTCTATCACCCCTTATGTGAGAGTACCCATAGAAAAGAGTATCATTCACATCTTTTTTTGTGCTATTCCCGTTATGGTAACTGTGTCGGGTATTACTTAGTTGACTGAAACCACCAACTGACGTTTCATTGTACATACTGTGAACACTGGTATAGAGCATTGTTGAGGTGCTTCAAGTATAACCAGGTTACTTGTATAGGTCTTGAAAGAACTATTTTCCAAGACCTAACTGCCGAAAACGCTAGGTGTTGGACAGAAATCCTTGTGCCTTATGCTAACAGATGTTGAAACTCCAAGTGCTTGTGTTATCTTAGCAGTAGAGCGAAAGATACTTGGAGGGTTCCTCAAAGCTTCAGTTTGTACAACTCAATCAGTCTCATCCATTGAATCATCAACAACGAAGTTAATCCTGAGTTTAGAGTGGCGAGTGATTTCCATTCGGGTAACTCTAATTTTGATCTTGAACTTTCGCTAACCAACACCTGTCTTGTTAACAAGCACGTCGAACTCTTTTAAGCCATCCTTATGTTACTTGCTATCTAATTTCCTTCTTGGCATAATCCTTATCACCCTGGCTGCGTAATCCTCTCAAAAACTCACGAGTCAAACAATTGTCTCCAATAGATAGAAGTTTCTTTGCGGTTACAAACGCGGCCGTCTTCTGGATGAGGATAGACAAGTTCGCAGCAGAAATTACATATTCAATTAGCAACGCTTAAATACACATGGTGTTAGACAAGTGCACATCGTGTGGTACCAACAGCCTAAGATATCACTGTACCCCACCCCATCCACAAGGAATTGATACTCTGGTAGATCACAGGCACTTGTTAGATATCCCAACCAAGGCAAACACAGATGGTCATCAAGAGCAGCAAAGGAGGGATAAAGCAAGAGAACGCTAACAAACTCTAAGAAACGATGTAGGAGAACACTTGACGAAACTAAAAACTAGAGGGGGAAAAAGAAAACTGAACTACGGCACTGAAACGCATCCTAATAATATTTAACATATCCAACTCACTAGTCTGCGTTCATCGATGCAGCAGATATTTTAAATGTGGTCAGACTGTAATTCACGGTTACCTTTGAATCGTTTAGTTCCGAGGCTGAGGGTAGTGGGATTACATCAGAACCCAGGATTATGTCGGTTGACCTAACAATCAGTGGAGTAAGCCTCCCCTAGTCAGACACGGATGGGGGAATAATGAGGGTCAATGCATTTAGTATGAGTGCGGAAATGATACCGAAACCCAGCGTTCATCTAGCTTTTTTTACCAGTAAGTTTCATACTATCTGCATCATTGACGGACAATGATATTTATAAATATCACAAGCTCGCTGGATAGGTATTGGATTCACTTTGGTTATAGCACATGTCAGTATAGTGAGATTCCTTTCTTGCAAAAATAATATTCCTTCAGATTCCTCTACTCTAAAACTGAATACATACTACTTAGTAAGGACTCACCTTACTTTACTACTCGAAAGTACTCAATAGAGTACCGTATAACTTGAAACGAGTGCGTAATCTAAGTTTCAACATCATGCAATCCAATATCTTTTAACGAGCTAGTGTAAACCAACTGATCTCTTCGAGCTCGCTTCTAGGTCTTGCGGAATGGTTCCAGGTCTTTGGTGGATTCCAATGCAGTAGGTCTACCCACTCGACTGCTGTAGCTCTGATTAGCCCGACAGGCGGTTGGGTGTTGTTCAGATTTGTAGGGAGTGTTGTTTGTTTGTTTGCTTTTTCTTCCGAGGAATGTGGTGCAGATGGGTTCCTTAAATGTCGTGCCAGTAGACACTTGGTCGGACTGGTTGTAAAAAGGAGATGAAAAATATACGCAGAGAAATCAAGAGCGAGAAAGTGCAGAAAGAGACAAAATGTAAAAAGAAAAGGAAAAAAGGAATAATAACAATATACATATATATATATACATACTTAAAGATTAGGAAAAAGGAAGCGGCACGGAAGAATAAACATTGGTAGGTTCATGGGGAATAGGTGATATGGAGAGCTTTTGTCAAAGTTCGAGAACGTAAAGTCAGAAGGAAGAAGAATAAATAACGTGATAGGACGAATCGGAATATAGTAATTCTTTTAGTAGAAGACGGTAACTGGAGGGGACGTCTACAGGAAGGTATAAGGTTGAGCCAAGTTCTCAGTGGTAGTGGTTTTACAAAGTGTTCAGTAACGTTTGGTCGTACCGAGTTGGTAGGTCGTGTTAGCCTAGTCCACATCCCAGTTGGATGAGCGCAAACCCTACGTAGCTGCGTAACTGTCCAACCTCTTCTTGAAGCTGTCAACAGACGGAGCAGTAGCAATCTGGGCGGACAGCGCGTTCCAGTATCCGCAAACTTGCAGATAGAAGAAGTGTGATCGCACACGGGTTTCCGCTCTTTGGTGAGTGATTCTCTTTGGGTTACCACTACGATCGCCATAGTGGCCGTTCGGTAGGATTCCACTGTTCGGATGACTTGGGTTACTGAGTAGTTTGTAGGCCGTTATCAAGTCACCACGTAATCTACTGTGGCTCGGGGAGCAGAGCTCTACATCTCTCAGCCTGTCCTGACATGGTTTTTGCCTCATTCCCACGACGCCCTTTGTAGCTTGCTTTGGACTTCCTCCAGGAGGTTCACATCTCTTTTCAGATATGGTGGTGCGGTGACCTCCAGGTAGGGTCGTACGTAGGTCTTATGCAGCTTCAAAGAGAGTTCCGGGGTCAGGGCACCCAACTGTCTGCGCATGAAGTGCAGTACTGCGTAGGCTCTCGAGGCATCTCCAGGATAATTAGGGCCAGTGTCTATTTTATCAGTTAGTGTAAGTCCTAGGTCTTTCTCTGTGGTGATGCGGGAAAGTTGTGTTCTACAGAGAGGACAGGGTACCTTTTGAGAGTCTGGGATGCTGGGAAACATGGCTCTAGGTTAAATGCAAGTCCATTAATATCCACCCACTCTGCAAGTAATCTGAGATCACTTTGCTGTGCACTTGATTCGGTTTCTGACGTCATAGCTCTCCATAGCTTAACATCATCAGCGTAGGGTGGAATTGGGGGGCTGAGATCCAGTGAGGGATCGTTCAAGAAAAGAAGGAGTGGCAGCGGACGCAGAATCGCCCCTTGTGATGCACCAGATGATGATGTCTTCCAACTCCAGCAAACTCGGCTTTTGTGCGGAATTGTCTACCATCTAGATAGTCCTGCAACCATGAAAGCACTTGTCTCTTGATGCCCAACCTTTCTACTTTGTGAATAAGGACGGTGTGTGGAACTGTGTCGAAGGCCTCAGTAAAATCCGGAAAAATAACATGGACAGGAATTCGGAGGTTCCAGCATGCAGTCAACTTATCACCTGCCGCCAGAATGTTTGTGGCACAGGACCTACCCTTTCCGAAACCATGTTTTGCATCACTAAGTGCCCCCTCTTTTCTAAGTATTCCCTGACATGGTCGTCTACCAGACCCTCCATTACTTTTGACGCCAGTGGTAAGAGGGCTGTGGGTCGGTAGCATTTTGGGTTCTGCCTGTCTCAACCTTTGAAGATGTGGGACAGAATAGCACTTTTCCACTCTTGTGGAGGCATGTGGTTGTCTGGGGAGTGCTGAAACAAGTTACACAGCGGACCGCACATGGCACCCGTACACTGGTTCAGTGCAGCCGGTCGGATGTCATCACACCCTGGTGATCTCCCTGCGCAGAACTTTGACAGTTTTTCGAGGACCGTAGCAGAAGTTGCCTTTATTCCAGGTAACTCTACTGCGTTTGGTGGTGCTGAATTTCGGTCGGACAGTTGGTAATTTTGGTTCAATAGGGGTGTATTGAGTTGCGTATCGAAGGTGGCGCTAAAGGCTTCGGCGATCCCTAGTCCTGAGAGGTTCCCTCCGTGTAGGCCCTTCAGGACGCAAGCCCCCTGGCTGGTGGACTTTCTGCCTGCGATAAACCGATATGGGTTTTTGGGATTTGCCTCGGGCTTCTGGGCAAGGTTCGTCTGGACTGACCTCCTGTCTCCCGTCACTCGTATGTTATATGGATTTCTTGGGGCAGCCTACACGGTGTGGTCAGGCTCTCTTACGGAGGTCCTCCACTTGTGCCATGCTTTCCTCTTAGCTTTCAAAAGGCGTTCAGTGCCTCGCTTCAGCCATGAGGTTCGCTTCCGCGGTATTGCTGTGATTACTAAGACGTTTTCAGAGACAACCCTCTTGATGGTATCCCTGACTAGTTCCCAATGTTGGTCAATAATAATAATAATAATAATAATAATAATAATAATAATAATAATAATAAGTCCTGAATATACATGCACACCATTTTTACAGGTATGAATAAGTTTATATACAAATTACATTCATCTTCATGAAAGGTAATCTCAATCCCCACCTATTGTCACTAGAAGATATAAGTGCTGCATGCTCATATAATGGAACATCCCAGCAGAATAAGTGTGCAGAAAATTTACAAGTTGGACAAGTGGAAGTATTGTCTTCGCATTAACAAAAACCTAGGTTTTTATCTAGACACTACAGGTATTACCTGGAGGAAAATAAAGCTTGAAGCTAATACTTTCGTTGCAACGGTTTGTACCTTTTGCTTGAGATAATGATGAAAAGTTTATGAATTGTATATATATTGTACTTCATTGACGATTCCAGGACTGTGTAATTCATGCATGTTAACTCCATTTCACATCAGGGACTCATAATCTTGATGAATATTATGACTCAAAGCCAAATGTCTTCACTTTTCCAACTCCAGCATCCAGAAGCAATAGACTTGTTTGAATGCACCAAGTGGGCTTTCAGAACATCTTGTCCTTCGTTTTCACGAGTCATGACAGCCTTGCAGTTGGTAAGTGTTGGACTTTGCTGATCACCTTTATAATGAGTAAATCCTAGATTTTGATAATCATGAAGTTGTAGTTCAGTGAACATTTTTTATTTCTGCTTGTTGTAGTTAGTTATTCTGCAAGCTGCAAACAATGAAACCAGTCACTGACGCGGTACCGCCCACCGTCATAACCAAACCCAGCAACTCTCCGCGGGAACCACATGTCACGCCACGCAAGCCTCCTATCCTCGAAATGTCTTCAGATTATCGGCCGTGGAAGCCGCGTATGCAGTCGTTCCTCACTTTTCTTCCGCAAGTCGCCCACTACGACCACATCATGGCGTCGCTGAGATCATAGTGCCCTCCAATGGTTACAATCATTTCGTGAACTCGACAGACGAGTGACTCGCTGGCAGGCAAGTTTTCAAGAATATGATTTCACCTGTGAATACCGCCCTGGACGGCAACATGGGAGTGCGGATGCTCTTTCTCACCTGCCTAGCTCCCCGACCGTCAATGCTTTACTCAGTGCTGCTGTAGAAGGAGATCGGGCAGCCTTAGAGAAGGCAGATTCGGATATCCAACTGATGTATCTCTGTCAATTTCATGGTAACGATAAGCCATATGCTAAGGAGCTACAGGACCAATCCCTGATGACACGTTGCAACTGCACTAAGCGAGGGCACCTACGCCTGATAGACGACGTCTTGTATCCGGTAGAAACCTCGTCACCAGCTCGCCCTGTACTGCAGCGGGCTAAAATACAGGAGGTAGTGGTCCAGGCACATGATCAACTCATGCATGCCGGAGAGCGGAAAATAGAAAACGCCGTCCGACAACGCTTTCGGTGGCCTATGACGCGCCGGGATATTTCTGAGTTTTGTCGCACTTGTGGTGCATGCACCCGAATCAAGTCACCTCCTCAGGCAGCGCGAGCCCTGCTTATTCCAATGTATATGGAAGCATGCAGCCAGCGTGAGGGCATAGATCTTATGGGACCTATAACGGCGTCAAAATGTGGAAATCGTTACATCCTCGTAATGGTGGATTACTTTACGGAATGGCGCGAGGCTGTGGCCCCGCAGCAACAAGATGCGGTGACTGTTACCCGTGCATTCGTCGACACGTGGGTTTCTCGCTTCGGAGCACCTATATCACCGTATTTGGACGAAGGCTCCGTTTTCGAGAGCCAATTCCCCGCTCACTTTTGCAATATCTTCGGCATCCGGAAAACCCACACTACTGCATACCACCCGCAGGGCAATGGCTTAGTAGAGCGTACCAACAACCATCGAGAGCTTACTTCGCGCATTTCCTCGCCAGACACCCGCAGACACTTGGGAAGACATTGTACCACAATGTCTCCTGGCCCATCGTTAATCAGTTCATTCTTCTACGGGTTTTTCGCCATCTTGTTTGAACACGAACTCCGCCTCCCCGTCGAACTTCGAAAACCACTGCTACCTTATGAGAGCACTGACCACGTAACATATATCCGCCAACTTCAGACCCGACTGGTGACGGCGTACCAGCTGGCGCGGGCACAACAACAATCACCAAGCCACCACTAAAAAGACGTTTATGATCGCAACTCTCGCGGACAGTGTACTCTCATGGTGACCGGGTTTAATTGCATCGTCCCGCCGCCCTGGCGGGTGCATGCCCCGAGTTCTGCTCCTCTTGGCAGGGCTTGTATGAAATCATC